ATGATTTATCTCTATGGTTTATAATTCAATAATTTTATATGTTGCATCATTGCTTCTTCTTAGTTAAATAACCACTGGATAGCTGTTTTATTCTAGTATGGGACTACTCATCAGTGCCCATCGACAATCCCGATGGGGATGGAACTCAGAATATTTATATCACACCGTTATCATTCAACCTTTAAAATATTGCGTCGACATCCGATGATTTACATTCCCAAATTTAATTAAATTGTGATACTGTGTAACCATATTTCAAATGCATCATTTGTGGTTAACTATCTCATCTCTGACGTGGTTGAACTTCACTGGTCACGGTTTCCCACTAGAACTCTGTGACTTATCCCTTTTAAATGTTACTAGTTAGCACATGATGATTGTTAGTATGTGGAATTTGCAGAGGTCGCTGGATTCTATGGTTTACATCACGGAGTACCATTGGTTGTTTAGTCATTGTTCATTTGGGTTAACTTTCATAGGGTAAATCAATTTTAGCTAGACCATCATTAAAACCTGAAAGCACTAAACGGTCGTTCTGTCCTACGATAACAGTCTTGAGCAGTAGGTATCTACTATTCCACATCTAGGAATCGAGCCTAAGACCTTCACTTTCGTGAGCGAACACTTAACCTCTAAACCACTAGACCGATATCCAACGGTCATGCTGTCAATCAGTTCTCGATATTGTTCAACTCTCGTTCAGTACTCGGATAACTGTCTTACACCATATTTAGTTAAGCCATCTGTCATTAGTTAATTTAATTCCGTTGTTATAAAATACCTTTCATCAGAAACTTTCAATTTCGTTATTGTTAGAGTGTATTTCTACTACGTTTTTACTACATCCTAATAATTTTGTAAACTGAATTTGTCTGTTGTATGGTAAAGTTTTAACTTTCGTATAAAGATATTTACGAATGATAAAACAACACTTCAGAAGGAATTATTTCAACAGTTGAATTGCCTTATTGAATACCAACAGTATATCTGCTTTGTTTTCTCAATTAAGTTTCATAATTTTGCAGTGTGCATGCAATCTGTTCTTCTATACTTAGATCTAATTCAAAGAACTATATACATTTGAAAAAGTATAAAACTTATGATAAGTTCGGAATGGGTAAAAATATTGGAAATGTTGTTGAATGCAAATTTCTATAATGCATATCACTTCTCTATGGATTTGAGACTATTTTTTTTTACAAATCTCTATTGAATGAACTGTATGCAATTGTTTATTACAAAGATTAACGCTGAATGTATATTTGAATATGACCTACAATTACTTCGATATATTTAGCTTTATTGTCATTAAACATGTATGGATTTAATAGTGAGACTATAATTTATAGACAACCTTTGAGCGACGTTAAAATGGCCTTGAGAATGTCAACTTATTCACTAGGGCTAAATAAGAGTTATAAACCTACGTGAAGAATAAGGATTATGATTTACAGCTGATGGTTAAGGCTAGGAATTAGGTTTAAAGTTTACATCACGAACTGACATCAGCTAAAATGTCAAGACGCTCTTTAACCAAATGGATGAATGGATCTCGCTCCAAAATACAATACATGTTATCCTAAATCTGATTGGTTCGTCCATAAATTATAGTTTCGCCAAAAAGCAATCAGAATAATTTTGTTTTTTTGATATCTTAATGAGTATAGATCTGAAAAATGTGGAAGAAAACTCTTTGATAATAATAATAATAATAATAATAATAATAATAATAGTAATAATAAATTATCTCAATAGTTTTTTGTGGTAAATTGTTAGGTATTTTCAAATTAAATTCATAATTTGTTCTCCTAAAAGATTGGACTAAACTTTTGATTGGTTATCTAAATCAGTGTCGAAATGTATACCATTGAACTTCACATACAGAAACTGAACATTTATTGTGCTTGAACAATAAATATTAAAGACATTTTTAGAACAGATGGATTGTAGCTAACAATGTCATTCAGAATGCGTATTCCATCTTATTTACGTGGATGTACTCTCATCTCAGTACTGATATTTAAATTAAGACTGGAGCCTAGAACAAAACTTGAGTGTTTAGTTTAGTCAAATAATAGATTAAAATTGTTGGTCTGACCTATATCGACAGGTAAAGATTTCTTGGTTGAGGTCACAAGTATATTCATAACCAATGTTTGACTACTTTCTGTAATCTGACTTGAAATCAGTTACAGTAGTTTAGTCATATCCATTATCTGCCTTTCTTTCAACTGAAGTATAATTTCTAACATTTTTGATTTCAGTTTTTTCTTATGTAATCCATTTCACATGTTCAAACTTGTATTAAAATTGAAATGTAGCCATCTTGTTTACTGCTTATGTTGTACATTTTCTCTCTCACTATGATGCTGAACGAATTGTTTCAACTTAAACTATTACACATTGTTATAATGTCCTACCGTTAGTGATGAATGGTAAGTTTACGGTTAGTGGTGACCTTCATTCAGAGTAAGTAAAGTTCCACAAAATCATCCATTGTAATCGTAAAATTTATGATTATTTCTCATAATCATTGCCATCAGTTACTACCAACAATATTATTCACTATGATCACTGAGGAATTCTTTTGTAAACGAGAATTATATATATATATATATATATATATATATATATATATATATATATATATATATATATATTACAAAGATGGCCTAGTTGATTATATTCCAAATACCTAGGTTTTCCTTTGATCGAAATTTGACCAACTAAATTTAGAATTTTTAGGAATAATTTTCTCTCTAAAAAGCTTCTCTTATCTAGATCAAGTTCACATGTTTTCGTTTGTTGCGTGATTAATTCTACTTGGTCTTTTTTCACAATTATCATATTTATTTTTTGTTCTTCTCTCCTTTTTGCATTTCCTCTGTTCGTTGTTTTTTATCTTTTGAAAATCTGAACCTATATCTTACCGTTTCTACCAAAAGATTTATATATTGCTAATAGTTGTTATTGTATTACTGATTTGTAATTTATGCTGTGATAAACGGTATATGTTCTCACATTGTTGGTCTTCTGATACATACCCTTTTCTTCTTTATGAGAACGAAGCTAGTCGGAGAGCTGGATAAAATTCATGATTTATTACCTAGACTTTATTGATAACTATGTAGTCATAGAGTTCCATTCATGTAAGTAATATCCATATAGATTAAATTCTGAAGTATTAGTCTTAGATAACTAAATATGAGAAAGTATTAAAAGTACCTGAATTACTCACTTGTTGTAAATAATCTGTACTGTATCACTATCAGTGAGGATATGAGCTATTCGGTTGTTGATATCCAGCACTGAATGTTGGTCAGTATTCGTTGGCATATGTATAGTCTATTTGGGTTGTCTCGTTAAAGCTATTTGTTATATATGCTAACAAAAACTCATAAAAATTCAGTTATGATTATCAACGGTGGAATAACCCAAACCCTTATTCATAATTACATAGACGTCATATTTGTTGAATAAGTTACTGGCTGTTTGAACTCAATAGGTCAGCAGATAACTCGTCGGCGTTCAGAGCTGAAGGTATTCATTTCGAGTTCTAATGTTGGCATTAACAATGGGAGTCATTTATATCAAGTTGACATTTCCCTAATAGAACAGAATATGCCTCCTAGATTCTACTGATAGCCATAATCAATCTATTCTAGGTCAATGCTTTTTTGTTCTTGTTGATGATAATTTCCTATCGATCTATTCGTATACCTTTATCTATAAGTTAGTTATGGTTTAGGATTGTTGTCATTTATTTCCTTATCTATTATATGTAAATCAAACGTAGTTGCATGTTACTATGTCTTAAAATCAGATCACATAAATTAATTGATCAGATTTGATTAAAACTGAAATCAGAATTAGCGAGTGAAACTAAATATCGTCTAATGACTAAATATTCTTATACCTAGTTTGATTTTCTAACCGTTCGGTCGGAAATCGATGTATATTTTAGACTACATTACGAAATAAAAACAGGAAATTATTAGTTCAGCGAACGAAATTTCATGCTCAAATCTGTGCAATCGCAATTGTGAAGTATTTACGCAATAATCGATAATATGTTTGTTAATAACATTTTGCTGAACATAATACAAAAAAAAATCAGGAACCAAATGTTATTTTATACTATTTGGAATGATTTGGATAATGCGATTGCGTTTGATGCAAACGGTGCTAGGTTTGATTCCTGAATTTTAACATCAACTCTAGAATTCCGGCCCACTCAGTTGACGAGTCTAAAATAGGATAAATCGCGCGATATGTATTCCACTGTTAGTCACATCCTATTTATTGTATATTATAACATTATTGTTAAGAATCTGAAATCATGGTTGTAAAACACCTGAGTATTCACCAACAATGTCATAGAACTTAAATAATTCTTAGTAAATGCATAAAAAGTATTTTCTTTAAAAGATTAGATGAAATATTATTATTACAGTTAGATGTATTCAGAAGGTATGTAGTAATAGATTATTGTGTTTAGGTGTTAAAGGTCAATAGAAAAGAAAATGGGGAGAGTTAGTGACTTTGGTGAACTAGAGTTTTATTACAGTAGTAGACTAGATTTTTCGTAGATACAATCATGGGTTTTCTAAAAGGTTTAGTATTGCTTAAAATACAACTCTTCTCTGCACCAATCTTTCTCGTGGATATGTTTTGATTTATACACCGTGAAATATATAATTCTGAATATTGAAATAATCTCTCTAGATTTCTGTGAGTTTCAACTATTCATTTGTTGATATTTCTTTTTTGATCTCTTTCATACGATTCGAAAATTTACCACTCATTACTGGACAAAATCTAAATTCTACAAAATGTAATAAAGAAATTTTTAAATGTTTGCGTATTCTATTAAATTAATTAACTATTGACGAGTTTAATGTCTTTTGATTTGTTTACTTCAGTCTTAAAATCACCAGTAAATAGAAACCATTAATTCACCTTATTTCTTCTCTCTTTTGTTTTATTTTATTCTAAATCAGGTTAGCAATGGTGGCTTAATTACATCGGATGATTTATTACAAAATAATGTAATCAATCAACCACTTAGACCTGCATCACAATTAAATTATCACTTACCTGTTGCTGCTCCTACTGGCGCTGGCGCTCCTCCACCACCGCCATCTATTAACCCAAATACAGTGAACAACGTACCACCACCTTCAACAATACCAGCACAAGAATTAATGAATAATAATAATATGTACTTGAGAAATAATTATCGCACTAATCTACCAATTTGTACAACCGGTATTGGCTATCCACCTGGGTAGGTGATTAACATTTTAATGTTGTTGGTTTTTTTTTAATTCTTCAGTATTTTTTTGTTAATTTTTTTAAGAAACATGCCGTTCTACTGTTTCACTAAAATCAGTATTGTCTACTTTTAGTGACAGTTTCTTTCATTAACTTGTTTAGCAAAACTAGCGTGTGTTATTCTCCCATGATTCTGTAATCAATATCAGTATTTACGCCGTGCGTTAAAGATCTTGTGGTTTAGTGATTAAAGCACTCCACTTCCAATATTAGCCGATCAGCAAGCAGTCAATATAGAGTAAAAATATGTTATACATAACCAAGGAAATAAAGTGGATACACTTCTTATACGTGTTTCAAAAACTTGTCAAGGTTAGAAAGAGGTTCAGGGGTTCTAAAATCGTAAGGCATGCAGTAGAGGAAATCATCCATACGGCTACAGAATAGTCGGCATCTGAAGCCATGATAAAGTCTCAAAAACTCTTTCAGCCTCGGCCACATAGCTTCAATATTGTTTATGTGCACTCCGGTTGTTGAGTACACAAAATGCTACTTGTGGATAACGACACGATGCACATAAACAAGCCTATGTATGAGTCTGTACGCTCTCCAAACATCCGTATATATTGTAGTACTTGGCTGCAGCCACTGTTACTGGTGCTTTTATTATCCAATTCGCAATAATTGTCGTAATTTGCCTTAGTTAGGAATTATATATGGGGTTTTCATCACGAACTGACATCAGCTATAATGCCAGAAATTCATTTAGGCAAATGGATGAAAGGCTTTCGCTTTAAAATCCGAGATCTATTATCTTATACCTGATTGCTTCGTCCACAAATTATAGTCCCGCCGTTTTATTTGTTATAGCCGCTCAATTATCACGTTATGTACAAAATTCCCTGTGAACCGATCATACGTTAGCATTAAGCACTAAAGTTGGTGCCACAACTTTGAAATCTTCAAAACGCCTCTGATTGGCTCGTCCATAAATTAGAGTCTCGCCAGTTTATGATTAAATTACAATGAAAAGTTCATTTGAATTAACAGTTTACAAATTACTGATCCAGATTTCCATTTTTAGAATAAGTTATAATTTGTTTCAAGTAATATCTACGTATAGTTTTTGGTAATCTTAAATCATCATGTATAATTTTTTATTATTTATTTATTTTATTTTAAATGATTAAATTTTTTTGTAACAAATTGTTGATATTTTTTTACAAAAGTAATTTATTGCTTACTTTTTTTGAAAAAAAAAATACAACAACGACAATTAGTTCTGATAGTCTGTTGAACGGAAAATGTGACAGTTCTTTGTCGAAATCAACTACACAAGTATCAGTAGCAGCAGTGGCTAAATCATTGGTTCTACCTGGATCTAAACAACAATTACCTAACTATCAAGAATCTAATTTACCTACTAATAATACAACATTAATACGTAAATTATCAGCTCCTATAGGACCACCTCATATTTTATCAAATCATACTGCTACAATACATCTACGTAGAGGATATAGTTTAAATAAACCTAAAATGGATAATAATGTTAATGATGATAATAAACGTGTCAATCAAAAAGTAAATGAAGGTGGCAATTTTGAAGGTTGTGTCGTCATTAAAGAGACTGTTAGCGACGAAGATTTAAATCATTCAAATTTTCGGCATTCTATAAACACACTCACTGATCATGTACCATCATCAAGGTAGCTATAAATATCGATAGATAGATAATGAATGAGATTGCATTGTGTTGATTATTTTGCATGTAGCATATAAATATATGTATTGTTTATGGATGTTTTTAAGAATCCTAGTTCTCTGTACGGCTATAATCGTTTGAAGTTACAATTACAGTTGGTTTTTTCTTGTATTCTCAAATATGCATCATCTTTTAGTTTCGCAAGCTATTAAGTTTGCCTTTGTAAGATGGATGAGCTACAACTAATTGTGAACATCTTGACGAATAAATAATTTGGATATTATGGTAAAGAGTAGAGCAGCAATTCCAGTCATTGTTTTGATCTTCCAAGGTTTGTGAGAAAAGATCCAAATACTCCTACTGTTATCATTGGTTGTGCATACCTTAGTTGGTTGAAACTGTCAAGCGTGTTTTAACTACGCATTACTTTCATTCATTTGTGTGTATATGCGCATGTTGAGTAATTCCGTATGAAGTGTTTAACTGTTCATCTTTTCAATTTAATCAATAGGATTATTCTGTTGTTGATATTTTGACTGGAAAGTTTATCAGTCTTGGTTGGTATATGTGTACCTTGTGCTGTGCGGACTGCTTCGATATAGCTACTACGACACAAGTTAGAATAGAATAGATGGAATGTGGCCGTCAGTAGAATCTAGGATGCGCGTTTCATACTTTCAAAGTCGATATTCACTGAGATTCAGGTTCATCTGACTGACGATTCCCATATAGGACGAAACGCGCATATTAGATTTTACTACTAGCTGCATTCCATTTATTCTATATGGACTTGTTCGCTATATTGTTTTATTTATTCTTCATGTGTACAAATTGAAGATATAACAGTTGCATAATCAGATAAGCTAAGCTTTCTCATTTGAAATCAGCATGCAATATACAAATATAAGTAATTTTATTATGAAGTAAAAACACCACCTCACATAATGGTGTTTTTCTTTCTTTTACTTAGTTCTTTATCAGTTATATCAGTAGATAGTCCTGAAGACGAGGGCTCTTCAGCAGCTTCTGATTCATTAGTTTGTAATCAAACGATCGAAGGTCAAACGTCAGGTCAACAGCAACAACAACAAACAATACCACCTACATCAGCACAAAATATCCCATTAATGAATAAACAATTTTATCAGCAACAAATGCAGTACAGACAACAATCGATTTCAGATCAACCTATGACAACGTTAACTCAACAACCACTTTACCAGCGAGATTATGAACAACAACAGATCCAACAATTACAATTTACTCATTCAACAAGACCTCATCTACAAATGAATTCTATGCCAATATATAATCAACAGCCTATGGGATTGTATCAAAATTATCTACGGTCAATTGGACCTAGAAATCAATTATACAACATTATTGATAGTCAACAACAACAGCAACAACAAATCAATTCAATGTCTCGATTAGATTCAACACAATCATTTTTTTCGCCTACACCATCACCTACACCAAGTAAGAAGAAATCGCGTATGTTATCTGGTACATTTGGTCGATTATTTCGACGTAATCAATCAAGTAATATAACTGGGAATAGCGGTGTTGGTATTGTCAGTGGACCATATGATATGGCACAATATTCACAAAATTATTATCCTATACCAAATCATATTAATCAATCAATACGAATATCAGCTTCACCACCGATACGTCTTGGTTCACCAATGATACATACATCAATTGCTAATAATACTCATAACAATAATAGTACTACTAACAATAATAATAGTAGTAACAATAATATTCGATATTCTATGCAACAGCAACCTATGAGTCCACAGCCGATAGCTGTCGGTCCAGGTGGACATCAATCACTATCATTACCACTGCCACCACCTCCGCCTTCAGTACAGTATCATCCGTCAATGTCCAATCAAGCACAAATGATACAACAACAGCACCAGCTCCTTATAGAACAGCAACAACAGATGTATCAATTTAGGCAACGACAACAAGGTTTGGAATATGGTATGAATATTTTCGGTTTGTATTCTTCTTCTTACTATTTATACTAATGATGGTAGGATGTTATTGTACTATGAAAAATATAAATATTGTGTTGAGATAATGAACTGATATCGGATCTAGTCGGTTAGTAGTAAATAAATAAACACATGCAAGTAGGTAAGTAGGTATATCATCTGCATTTGTGCAAATATTTCATGTATTGCACATGACTTACCTTTGTTTCCAACTAGTTCCATATAATGATTCACATTCTGGAAACAAAATAATGATATTAAACAGTGAGTATCACTATTAAGTCAGCATGGTGTTCATAATTTTATTTGGGATTTAAAACACGTGATAATGATTATAGAACATGGTAATGTAAGTTTCACTATGCTTTATAAGTAATTAGTCACCCTTCCATGGTAGGGGCAACAGGGAAGTGATAAACACCCTCATACCTCTAACAGCACTACAGACCCAGTAATTAATGCAAACAAATCGTATACCTATGAATGCATATTTCCACATTAGATGGATAAAAGTTAACTATCTAAAAAATTGCTAACACAAAGTCGTTTGAAGTTCAGGTTTATTATGTAGTTAGATCTTGTTTTCTTAATAACAGTCTCAGTAATGTCAACTATTATATGCCTTGTTCTCGAATTATCATTTTTAGGCTGTAAATTAAATTTGGAACAAGCATCTAAGGAATACTAATTTCATTGTATTACTGAGTTTATTCGCATTAGTTCTTTTATGTATACTAGTAATAAATTTCTAAGTGTCCAGTGTTTAATTATCAACATAATTTTCTTGACATTAGATAAATATCAATAAAACTAACCTATTCGTGGATAATTTGATGCTTCGTTAGAGTTTAAATATGTGTGCAATCGTACTCATGCCATTTTAGGTACCCTACAATCTTGTGTAAAAGTTGTAAATATACCAACTTTTTTATTGTAATTCCCACTTCAATCCAACCTTGTTATTCGGAATATAATTACGTTCCTGTCCAACCATGTTCTGGTTTGCGAACTTGTCGAGTGAAGTAGTGTTCAAGATTGCTAAACAATAAGACTAGCTGGGACGTAATAAGGGAAATCATAATACCTCCACTTATAATAGTTTCCTGCAAACATATACTGTTACTTAGTGAATACAAATAAATTTTGGATTCAGTCTGCATTTATCACATATAAGTTAACGTAATAATCAACGTGGAGCAATATTGATGTGTATCATCACGAGTATTTGATAGCTTACACTTCTTAAAATAATTCCATACGGAAATAAACTTCTTAGTCCTTACTAGTTTGTAGTGACTCTCTAATTCTTTTCGATTGATATGGATTATCCAAACAAATGACGTTTGTAAAACAGCAAGTTGGTTTTACTGTCTGGAAAGATATTTCAAAGATAGAAGAGGCGCTTGAAAAAGTTGACAAATGCTCATTTTGGACATCAAATGACGTTTGTCATTTATGAAACCGCATGTTGAGTTCTAAATTTCTAATGTGAAAATACTCTGAATACAGAAACATGATAATAACAAGTTCTGTTTTAACAAAATTCATAGATGGATGTTTCTAAAATATTGCAAACTCTTCTTACAGAATTCGTCAAATGCTTCTTACTATACAATGTTACTTGTTATTTTTTGGGATTGAACATCGTGTAGATTATTCAATATCTCATATGGGTTGTACAAATTCATATAAATGAATATATTTAGATATTATTCTTTACATAAGGGACTTTCAATAAGTTAGGAAATAATCCATGTCATTGTTACATACTATCTGAATAACTTCTAAATAAACTAGGACGAACTAAATGCAGTCAAAAGTTGTTAATTTAATTATTTGGAAGTTAATAGAGGTTAAAATAATAAGAAATCTTTCATGTTCGAGTATTCAGGAAATAATTGCGATAAGCTATCGGCCATTTTCGAATAAAATCCTTTATTGAATTCATGAACTTACCATGAAGCTAGGTGACTCATGTTCGAACCCTACAGGTAACATCAATTCCTTCAAAATTGTGGGTATACCTTGTTGATGATAGCAAACTGAAATGGAACCTAAATGCAGTGTTTTCTCCTGATTACCTGCGACCACCTAACACTTACTTCTTATCTTGTATTAAGTAATTGAAAACAACACGCGTAAATATTAAAGACCTGAGCTTTATGAAAAGTCTGCTCATTGAACGCTCTATCCGATTTTCTATCCACTTTTAATAACCTCAGACTAAATCCTACAAGACAACTTGAACACAAGAGAAAAGACGCGAGATGCATATAATAAACTGGTAATTCAGATTTCTCAAACTCCCAAAATATATCAAAATGATTTATGAATACATCACTTTATTTACAGTTAGAGTAATAGTCAGATTTGGTATATATTCAGTTCAGCTATATTTAACAATAGTGTTTCAACAATTTACAGTGTGCACACATATTTACCATACTCATATAATTATGTATTTATAACTAACAGATATAACTAATTAACTAAGTTATAAAATTACTCCTTAAGATGTGAACACATGTTACACACGATTGGAAAAAATCAATTTCATATGTCATTCGCACTCCTATGGATTATGCCATTGGTCGTCATATCACTTTTTGACACACCCTTACAAAATGTATGTGAAATCATCTTTAACTGAGGTGACAATCATGAATACTGTTTCTAATATAAAAGGATAGATAAATCATTTTCTTAAGCTTGTATCGATTCCAGTGCATTGTTTATCGATTGTTATCTTGTGGTTTAAGTCTTCTAGAATAAATTTAACATATCAACCATCTTAATATTTAACAAATACCTATTATTATGTATTATTCTCGTATTTCTCATTTTGCTTAAACACTAGATGATGGATGTAATGGACCAAATCTTATTACTGGAGGATCTATATCACCACTTTCGTCCTCCACTGTATCAGGAAGTCTTTCTGAATCAACTATTCCATCAAATAGTAGAATAATGAGTCCAAATCCTATGTCATTGACTATGGGTAGTAGTGGTGGTCAACTGGCTAACACAACACTACCACCACAAGTCCCTGAAGAACGTCGACGGTGGAAAAAGGAGGAGTTATTAGAACAAGCTATGATGGCTAGATTACCATTTGCACAATGGAATGGCCCTACAGTAGTAGCATGGCTTGAGGTATACTCAATGTCTGTTAGATATTCTCTTTCTTTTTCTTTAATAACGAAATCATATTTTATAAGTTTTTCAGTTAGCTGGCTAAAATTTCTGTAATTGTTCACAGTAACCTTTGAGTTAAAGTTAATATATTCTCATGTATTTTTTTTAAAAAAAGGGAAATAACTCAACATTCATATAGACTAGTTTACTATTCGATTTAGTAAATATTTTCTTAGGATTAAATTGAACTTTACTAATCAGTTACAGAATCAATATGTATTAATTCCGCCTATAACATAAACACAGCATCCATATTAGTTCAAACATATTTTCAATTGAATCATTACCATTGCTTCTTTATAAGCACTTTTTTTAATCGAATTAACTGTACTACTATCAACTCAACTGTTTGATATTATTTAACATAATAGAAATTTGATGAGTTTGAGTTACTTACAACAACACTGAAGTACACAGATAAGAATATATGTTGAAACATAATCAATACTTATAAGCAGAGATGAATGGTGGCTAACAGTGGAATTAAGGACGAAAGTTTTGTCCTATCTGGGACTCGTCAGCTAGATTTATCTGTATCCCAGAGTTGATGTTCATTCGGAGACTCTAACTCAATACTATTGGCTTCAAATGCCATCACTTCATCCACTTAGCTACTGATTCCAAGTATCCATTACCTTGTGTAATTGGGTAAAGTCTAAGCCCTTTTTGTATTTGTTGTCTGAATGCCAATAAGAGACTGATCAATTGAAATCATAAACTCCATTAAGGAGTATCAAAAAACCAATACAAAAATGAATAATTATTACTATTTCATAAGTCATGCTATGATGAACTGGATAGGTTTTATGTAGGTATCATTCTTGATGGGTACATAATTTATTTTATTATTTTGCATTATTTACTTCACTTGAGTAGTACATCTAATTTGAAAAGCATTTTCTTGTCAGTAGTATAATAATTATATTATTTATAAACCAAACTATTTGTTTAGACTTTAAATGTTCCATATACAAGTACTACATTATTTATTGACTATATTTTGTATGTGTTTGTGTGAAAATAATACAGTTCAACTCAACAGCGATAGGAGCATTATTTCGGAAAACTCTGTGTATCGTCAACAGGACAGATTTCTGTTTTCTCTCTCAATTTCATCTAAGGATCTTGAAAAATTATGATGAAATTGAAAAGTAGAATTATATTCATGATGTTTTTGATGAATATAAATTTTGATAAGCATCACTGCTAGAGTTTCACTTTCATTCCTTAAAAATGCAGGTCATTTTTCGCCAATTACATGAACTTGTCATTTGGATTACATCATGTTGACACAACATATCAATTTACATCCATTTTGGTTTGAGTTCGAATGTGGACATCAATACTGCGATACAGTTCCAAACAGAAGGAAACCCGCTTCTTGGATCTCACTGATATGCACACTTTATCCATTCCTTAGAGAATATTGTTTAAAACAAAGAAACTAAATTGTGTGAAATGACTGTAACAGAATAATCTTTTATTCTTCATGAAAGCTTAAATAAAGAATATGGCTTATCTACATCATCTCAATCGATTTTGATTGGTGTCATCGAACATCTGCAACAGTAGATTTCGATCATTCCAAAGACCATATTGTGGATCAAAACATCAATTTTACTGTCATCAATATATAATTATAACTTAAACCAAGTTTAACTAAACCATTTATATCCTCAAAACAGTAAATATACTTTCTAAGGTTATTTCCTTTTTTCCTTTTAGCTTTGGGTTAGCATGCCCGCTTGGTATGTAGCTGCTTGTAGAGCGAATGTTAAATCCGGTGCAATAATGGCATCATTATCTGAACAAGAAATACAACGTGAAATTGGTATTAGCAATCCATTGCATCGACTTAAACTACGTTTAGCTATACAAGAAATGGTTGCTTTAACTTCACCAACTCCAGTTCCTAAGCCTAGTACAAGGTAAATTATATATATCAGTATTATGGACTCGCAATTCTTGTTTCTCTGACATCTGGAAATTTCCTTAATTTAGTTTATTCTACAAAGTGTAGAGATAAATAATAACTATCGTCAAACTGTAAACTTTATTTGTTAATTCACTTTTCTACTAACATGTCTTAACTTTTAGTTAAATGATAGGTTCAACCATTATCCAAAGTAACAGATTTACCCACCATTGATATTGGAAGATAGCTGTGAGATATTGCGAAATCACTGAAGTTATAAATGAAAACTATTGGATACCCGTTCAGTGTTCTAAAAGTTAATTACTCACTACAGGGCCTAAAACTTCTGAACCCAATTCTTGATGGGATCGTGGCTGTGTGATGCTACTGATTCGAAACAGCTATCTAATACTTCCTAGTGTTCAATACTTATCTAACTAAGATTAGTCCATTATTCAAACTGTAAATAACAAGCATTGTAAGCAGAGATGAGTGATATCTAACAGTGAAATTAAGGATGTACGTTTCGTCCTATTTGGGACTCGTCGGCTGGATTTATCTGTATCCCAGAGTTGTTGTTCATTCGGAGACTCGAACCCAGTACCATTGGCTTCAAATGCCATCACTTCATCCACTTAGCTACTGATTCCAAGTATCTATTACTTTGCGTAACAAGGTGAAGTTTAATTCATTTGTATTGATTGTTCGGATCTTTCCAAGTATGTTTAGGACTGCAACTGATCAATCTCTTTTGTTATATGTGAATCCTCTGGGTATTACTTCCATATTGCCATCAAGTCACAAGCGTTTCAAGCAGAGATGGCTGGTGCACTTATGGCAAATGAGACTGATCATTTTCACTCCTAAATACTATTTGGAAGATCCAAACAGCCAATACAAATGAATATAAGTAATTAAATACTAAGAAAAATCTCTTGAAGAATCAATAACGTATCTTATTGCGGTACATGCATATAAGCATAGCTGTGGAGTCTGTCCACAGAATGTTGAGTAACGCTTTAGTAAATATAAACATGAAATATAATAGTATTAATAACTAAATTATTTAGAATCCTATAAATGTAAAATATTGTAGTATTAATTAACATGAATAACTCTAAATCACTATCCTTGTCTTTTCCCTATTAATCATATGTAAAACAAGTTCCACAGCTGAAGAGGAGAAATGATGACGTTGTGAATTTTTGTCATATTAAGGTGACTATTAATAATTACGTATAAAGTTGAATTGATACTAATGTAATGCTAACAAACGGTACGTAGAGCTACTTCCTGTAAATATAGTCCGAACTTATTTAATATCCGTTAAGTTTTGTCATTGCTTACGGTATTTTCTAGTTATAAAACACTGCAACAATGGTCTTCAATTCGATAGGAAGGAGAGAGAGAAAGCGATTGTCAGCAGTTCAAAAAGTCTTATATTCAAGAAGATAAAATTTCAATGGAGTAACTCTCTCTTATTATATATATATATTATACAGACGAATATGTTTCATCATGTTAATTTATAAATGGACTTTTTTCTGCTTTTTTTTCTGTAAATTTTATATAGTCGTCTTGCTTTTGGTGATATGAATCATGAATGGGTTGGCAATGTATGGCTTCCTAGTCTTGGTTTAGCCCAATATCGTCCAGCGTTTATGGAATGTTTAGTTGATTCACGGATGCTTGATCATTTAACTAAACGTGATTTAAGAACACATTTAAAAATGGTTGATAATTTACATAGGACTAGTTTATTATATGGTATTGTTTGTTTAAAACGATTAAATTATGATCGATTGGAATTAGAACGTAGACAACGTGAAGCTGCTCATCCTGATAGTATTGGTATGTTTACGGAATATTTTAGTGTTGATGTAATTGGCTTTTTCTATTTAAAATTAATTTTTAAACTTATATCAGTTAAAAACTACTGAAAGTCATGAATTTACTATTGGGGAACTGTCTGTTTCTGACTTCATATCTTTAAATTATTACTCGCCAACAACCTATATAAGGTCGAATGCAAATTTCTTAGGATACACAAAGAACACAAAACCACTTATCATCCACCTTCAGTACTCTATACAACACTATTTTATCATCCAGCTGAAACCCATTAATTTACATTTCTAAACTTCACTTGATTCACAATGCAATGGCGTATTTACATTTATTCCTTGTCTCACCCTAGCTCTTAAGCCCATTTTCCCCTCATATATGCCTTTTCGTCCAATCGTTTCGAACCGTATTCTCAATTCTTAGTCTTTCTCATTATTATTTCCATTTTGATTCCTATGCTGTTCATCTTGTTTGATATTGCGTCTCGTTATGTCAATACGGTATGATGGCTTGTGTTAATGGATTTTTGTGTCAAGCTTCACGCTGATTATGATTAATTGACTCGCAATACAAAGAAATTTTCTCGTTTATCTAGATCTGTCAGCTCTCAAATCTATTTGGTTCTGTTTTTAGTTGATTTCGTACATATCATAGCTTTCTATCAAAAAAAAAACTTCAAAATATTCATCTTAAATTGGCCAGATTTAACTTTTAATCCGTTAATTGATTTTCCAAGTGAATTTTAACCTAAGAAATTGTTAATTTGTTCAATTTCGGAGTGATATGTATTATTCAACTGAATGAAACAATAAAATCTAGTATTTTAACGTTCACTGACTAGTCATTTGGAAATACATCTCACTCCTACAGGAGTTTAGCATCGATTAAAGTAGTTCACTTTTCACATTTTTGACTATGAAGCTAAGTGAATGCAGATTTGAATCCCATTGAATGTTTCAGTTCTCTAATGATTACAAGTGTGGTGTGTGCTGCTGATGTTGGTAGATATAAGTAGTATGTATTTTCAATCAAAAGTAGAATGCCTGGAGACAGAAGGTTAAGAAGATCGAAGAAAAAAGAACGAGAACAGCGAATGGTTGGTATAGAAACGAAGGGACAATGTATTCTGAGACGATTGATTCACATCTTGCAAATAAAGCATTTACTGTATGGTTCTCAGATTTGACTGAGGTATTCTGTAATTTTGTGTTGGCCCCACTTGTGTTCCCGTTCACAACACAAATGCGCCTTGAGGAACCATTACCATTTCACAATAAAACCTAGTTTGGGAGTTTTCCACCGACTGGATCCATCCATCTAGCTTGAAAACATAGTGTAGGGAATGTTGAGTCACTTGAACTAGTGAACCACGTTGCTATCTGACCGATAGGATTTGATGAACCAGATGAAAATGATCTTGGTCATTATTTACGGATCAATTGAATGTAAGTTTTATTACTTTATATTTGATATTACATATTATCACATAGTAAGACGGGTTAGAAAAAAGGAGGCAAGTTCAACGTGGAGAATAAAACTATTAGAATGGATCTTTAAAAAAATACGGAAAAACAAACAGACAAAATTAAAGTAAGATAATTGGGCGTAAACATTTCGAATAATAAGGCGTAAATTAGAATTAATACATTTATACAATTGAAATCACAGATTTATTTTGTTCTTCACATAAAACAATTCAGTCATTCAACTCATTTCACCTGCTACATCATTAAACAAAACAATTACAATTTGGTAAAAAAAATTTCTTTACAACAATGTCATTCACTGAAGCTGTATGATTGTATTTTTTATACCTAATTTTCATACATGGTGGTAGTCTATGATATGTAAAATTGTTTTAAAAATGGCATCAGAAATTAGTCGAAATAAAAACTTTATGATGTTCGCAGAACATCTATACTACTATTAATGATAATCTCGTGCTCACTAGTGACTGACGTCAAAATACAATTTCAGGAGTCCTAATGATAAGCCGTGACAAGTGGAGCTTAGCCATGTCGAGTGTAAGGTATTACAAGGTGATCGCGCAACATCACGAACTTATCGGAGTTAGACATACGCATTGTCGAATACTGGCTCAGTGGTTTAGGAGTTAGGTGTTCACTTTCGAGCCTTCAGGTCCTGAGTTTGGTCACCTGCGGTGGGGGTTTGCATGATCACTGCTGAGGGGCCCCCATACTAGGACGGAATAGGTGTCCAGTACTTCTTGGTTTTCAATGTTGGTTTAACAGGTATCAGTTCGTGATGTAAATTATGCAAATTTATCAATATCCACTATATCCCCCATACCGAAATGCGAATCTATTAAGAAAAAACAACTTACAAAGTAAAAAAGGGGGTATATACCAGCACTTTGTTAATATAAGGGTCGGACACACCGCTTCACAACACAGAAACCAGGCTTGAATTAAGAAATTACCAAAGCTTCTACCGCCCATAAGTTTTTTATCCAATGATCCTTAGAAATAGTTCTTCTAACTTTGAGAATAGTTTCGAATGAAGATTCTAATGGATATAGATGATCTAAATCCGACCAGATGTTCAACAATTAAACTGATTTGGATTCACCTTTATTTGGGTAGCTATACTGAGTATCCACCTCTTATTACTATTAAAACATAATTCAAACTTCTTGTTAATCAATTCTTAGTTTTATGTCAGTCAGTCACTCAGCTACAATGTATGGTCAGGCATATATACGCATCGGTCCAAGTTGCTACACCTCATTAGCATAACAAGATGAACACTAAATTCATAGAAGTAGTTACTTCCTATATTAAAATTGATGAGAATAAATGATGGTAACTAGTAAGTAATACGTTACACATTGAGAATAAAATAATATCTAATGACCTGACGAAATAACCAACTATTTTATACAGTGAAAATAAACACAACATGTTACTTTTGCTTGCGCAAGTGATGGATTTTCTTATTTTGTGATAGATGGATAGATAATAATATGAAGTAGTGTGAAAGTAAAATAAATTGTTTATACCTTGTACAAATCAAAAATGCTCAATTACTGATTAGAGAATGACATTTTAAATAAATAAGGATTTATCTATTCATACATTTATATGATTAACATAGATCATAAATATTGAATTCATTTCGTTTGATGCTGTCCTAACTATGGATATATTTTCTAGAACAATTATCACTATTTCTGGTTTTATTTTGTTTTATATATAAGTCGATCAGTCATTCTGTTTGTTACTTAGTGATATAATTTCTATTCGAGGCAAAAGTTACTTGGTTCAGGTCTCAACGTGAACATCAACACACTAGGATGAAGATAAATTCAGTTGAAGAATCCCAAGCAAGATGAAATGTACACTATAAATTTCACTGCTAGTTACAATCCAACTGTTCTATAAAATTTAGATAAATGAATTGTCGACGATTATTCGGATTTTAAGTTAGCTTTAATCACATCGAAACATTATTGGTAGGTGAGGTTATACTATACACTCCTTACTACGTGGACGCAATAGTCTAACTGGTATGTTGTTCTCGTTACAATATCTGAAAGCTATGGATTTGTTCCCATATAAACAAGGGTTTATTGGTAACAAATTTCACGCTAAAGTATATCAGTTATTTCATGCACAATAAATTCTTTTGTATAGGAGACTTTTATTTCATGGATATATTACATGTCACCTGCCAAAAGTGATTAACAAACTCAGTCAACTACAACGTGGAACCAGGCACATATATACATCGGGTCCAAGTTGCCACACTTCATTAGCATATCAAGACGGACACCAAATTCATTGAAGTAGTCACTTCAATAGTAGTAATATATAAAGATTGCATATAAGGATATAATACAGGAAGAAAGAATTAATTCGTAGAAAGAAAGGTACAAAGCAATTTTAATCTCACGATTTAAGGGAAGACAAAGAGTGTATATACCTCCGCCATTGTGATCGATTCTGAGCCATATCACCCAGGGTCTCCAACCATTGGTTACGATAGTCACGCGGACCCCAACCAAGTAGTCTGACTCTACTAACATGGTTCAGACTAGAAGTTAGTGACTTTGTGGACTGATGCCACATTTTGGTTTGGCCGCCCCTAACTTTTTCATCCATCGCCGATACTAGTCAGGATTGCGCGTCGTAGTAATCGGCGTTCATGCATATGTAACACGTGGCCCAACTATCTCAGTCGATGAAGATTTACAACTTCATCAACTGACTTACCATCATTCCCTAATACCCTGCGTCTAACCTCATTATCACTTACCCAGTGATCCCAGCAGATGCCAGCAATATTTCTAAGACATCTGTGACCATATACCAGTAAATTACGAGTATCCTCTACCCTTAATAGTTACGTTTCTCAGCCGTAAAGTAAAACAGAACGAACTGCCGTGCAGCATACCCGTCCTTTCATTGATAGACGGATATTTCGCCTTCCCCATTGACGACGTAAGTTGACAAAAGACAAACGAGCTTTTCGAATCCGTTCTGAGATTTCGTCGGACACCAATCCATTAGGGCTGATCAGACTTCCAAGATAAGTGAAGTTGTCGACGCATTCGACTAGGAGCAAGGTTTCAGTAGACCTAAGACAGTATTTCGCGCACTAGAATCATTGGCCATGGTGACACTTGAGGAGGAAGTCAAAGAAAGAATTTTAAAGTCGCTAGTCGAAGTAGGAGGAATAATAGGAATTGAAGGGAGAAACTGATTACTAATACAGTGGTCTTGAGTGCTGTCAGAGGTGTGAGGACGGTTTCCACTTCCCGGTTACCCACACCGTGGAAAGGGGTTCTTCGAGAGGTACTCGAAAAGGAAATCGGGTTTGAGGTGGTCTTAGTGACCGCTGTGCCCAAGGGACAACTGGTTGAGGCCGGTCACGCACGACCTTTTTGTGAATAGTTTTCGTGTTAGCTCTGTAAATGTTGGGACCATACTGACGGAGACGGATGTCCGTCGGATAAGGCGAGGTGTGCATTTCTAGCGTCGACCTTTTCTAACCCCACCCTTTCTTTGTGAGAAGACAGTATTTGGTCATGCTCGTTGCCTGAGGGGAACACCTTACTGACGTCACACCTCTACAGTCAGTTGTACGACTTTGGCCTCGGACCTTGACAGTATAAGGAAATCCTGTTCTTTTTCTATTGCCTAATTACATACATGATTGATTTGGTTTTTTCCGGAATTTTCGATGTTTACGAAAAACAAACAGAAGTTTTTAGTTGAAAGAGTTTTGTGATGATTGGTTTAATGTTTAGACTATTCGGTACAAATTAATCTATCGATGTACTATTGAAAGCTAGGGAATGCTTGACAGATGTTTCATTCTAGCACGGGACTTCGCTGAAGTACCCATCTGCTCTTCAGGGATTGAACTCAGGACCTTCAAGTCTACTGACAACCCTCTGGGCTTTATTTATTTATTTATTTTATTTCAACACATAGATATTGGTACAAAGACACACCAAATACATATGCGCCACACAGATCTCATTCGATATGTGTGAGGGCTGTGATACTGCCCGGGTGCCCAAACCCTCTGGGCTAGGGACCAGTGGTGCTCATTTCCAACTTTAATCAACTTCCTATATAGCATAATAATCATCCAATTTTATTGGGTACTACTGCTATACTCCCAGTGCTTCCAGTGATAACCTGAGTTCAATCTCTAATGAATACTACCTTAAAATTACACTATTAAATAGTTAAATTCGAATGAATGGACTTTTCTTTAGCTCTTCCTAATACATTTCATTGTTTCTGTTAGTCTGTATGAAAACCAACACTATTTCTCTCTTTTACACACACTTTTCCAGTTCTTATTATTATTACCATTACAGTAATTAAAGGCTTATGTAACAGAGTCATAAAAGTATTCTTTTTCATCTTTTATACAAAACTATATATTTTGATCGGCCCGTCACAAGTATTGATAAAAATTTTCTATCCTTGAGTCAACATCCTATTCTTTGTTCCATTCAATTTATCTGTACTATAATCATTTTGATTTTTTTCATGACTAGAAAACTCATTTATAGAATTTTTATTTCTTTTGTTTAATTCTTCCTCGTTTGTTATTCTGCATGAGATTTCCTATGCATATTACTCATGACTTGGTATATTATTCCAAAATATATTTAGACTTGTTTTTATCACCATTACGAATCAGATTTCAGCTTAACGATGACAGCTAATAGAGGGATTCTTAATGAGTCTATAATTTTGTAGTATACATCACGGACTGATTCTGGTTCGACAGTCATTGAAAACCGGAAGCTATGAGCAACTATTTTCTCCTAGTATGTGACTTCTCACCAGTACACATCGAGAATCACAGGGGATCGAACTCATGACTTAAGTCTCACAGAATACATTTGACCACTGAGTTGGATGGTATCTAACGGTATATCGTTTAATCATAGTTTGAGCGCTTTCCATGAGATGTAATCTTTTTTTCAACTAAACGAGTGGATTGAATCGTTATCTAATTACCTGATGAAGCTTTTGTAGATAGAGTTAGGATTAAGATACAAAACTACCTCTAAGTATTTGATTCAATTTTAATTACCACTTAATAGAGATTATTCCTGTTTAAACATTAACAACATGTAGTTCAGCTAAGTGATCTCTTTTCAACGAATTTATTACCAAAATTTACAATCATTTGAATAAATATATATGAAATTTCAAGTATTTATTCTGTGAGTTCATTTGAGCCATAAATAAACATGATGATGCAATAGAAAGATCACATAGTGTGAATAATAGCAATAAAAGTGTGTGCGTGGAAATAAAAAACCTTATAAACTTAGTCAACAGTGGATTGTAATATGAAAAGAGTAAGATAATTAAAATGTTTTTGTTACAATAATTAAAGTATTCATGAGGTTAAGTGAAATGAAGTGATGTCAGAGGCAATTATGAATAGATGTATGGCACAAATCCATGAAGTCACTGACAAGTGGACTGAGCCATGTTAGTAGGTGTAGACTACCTGGTTGGGGTTCGCGAGATGATAGCAACCGATGGTTAGAGACCCTGAGTGATATGACTCCAAATCGTTTGCAATGGCGCAAGTGCATCCACTTTTTGTGTTTGCCAAGTTCTAATCTTCATATCTTTTTTTTTCTTTCCAACTTTATTTTACTGGATTATACTCCTTGAATAACATCTTCAAACCCTAATGTTTCCGATTACTGCTTATACTCTTACTACCTCTACCACTATGGGGTTTGAATCGACAACTGCATCTCTGTGCTAATGTGGTACGGCAGCTGGAACTGACGTACGTACGTACCAAGTTCTACGTTGTTACTGACTGACAATCTCTACAAGACCTCTTTTTGAACATAAATTAGGGAAGAGAAATATTATCAAATGCAAAATCAATGGAACCAAAATGTGATAACAGTTTAAGGCCACTGTAAAGATAAAAATAAGAATACTTCTTTTTTGCACATGGTTCCGGCTTCGTTTCGTGGATGCTGAGGGGTTTTTATGTTTTAAGGAGTCTAGCACGAAACCTTTTGGGAAGATTTGTACGTATTCTATAAACAACCGTAAAACCAACCTGTGGATCAGTGGAGTGATTAGAATTGACTAAATGTAGAAGAAAAAGACGACTTTTCTCTTACCGCTGTAGAACCATACTGGAATATGTCATCGTTTAAGTAATTTATTTTTACTTGTCACATATTTTTGAGAAATTTATCATTCTCTTATTTTGCATTTTACAATAATTAGATTTATTAGTTTGGTCATGTGAGCGTGTTCAAGGTTGGTTAGATGAAATCGGTCTAAAAGAATATGCACCGAATTTAAATGGATCTGGCGTACATGGTGGTGTGATTGGTTTACATCCAGATTTAAATCCTCAACAATTAGCCTTAACATTACAAATACCTACATCGAATACATCAGCTCGTGCTATATTAGCTAAAGAATTAACTCAACTTGTACAACGTTTTCGTGCCAATGTACCAATTGCAGCGGCTAGTATTGGACCAGCTCCAAGAGTACTAGCAATGGAAGCCGCTGCTGTTGTTGCAGCTAATAGAGCTCGTGCAAAATTTGAGGGTCAAGATATTTGTTATCCAGATGACGGATTTAATGAAACAGCTGTATGTGATTTATTTTATTTTTCGTCTTTATTTTCTTTCCCAATTTATAGTGAAAATGAGATTTGAGATGAGTGTTTTGTGTAGAGATTTGTATAATTTCATGATGTTGATAGTTGCTTATGGATAACAGGTTGACTAGATTACAATAATTTAATTCTTGACACATCAGTACATTAGTCATAGTAGTTATCTAACTGTTGTGACCTTGAACTTGGGTCGCTTTTTATACCCCGTGCCAATTGTCGTGTCCTTGACTGAAAGATTAGAGAGCAGCGTACTATATCGATCGATTCGGCGACACGTAAACACGCACGAACGACCTAGAGTTACGATTGGTCCCGCTTCCCTGTCCAGCCCAGCCAGCTGAGTCCAGAACACAAGTCACAACCTCTGAGATATGAATCGTTATTTTTCAAACACACTCTGCTTATATACCAGTCAAGCAGACCACATCGTACCATAAAACAGAAAACAACGTTTTGTACAATATTTAACAAGTGAACAAATATCGACCAATAGGAAATGTCCATTTAACGTCCAAGGACACCATTAGACACGATAATTATTGGTATATTCCTCTGCATCCCTAACACTAACCAAGGTCAGTTTGTGAAATGAACTGTAAAATTCGACGATCTTTACAAACTGTACATAATAATAATAATAATAATAATAATAATAATAATAATAATAATAATAATAATAATAATAATAATAATTAGTTATATGTTCGTTATTAACTGATTTTGAGTGGAAATTGTTATTAAGTAAACTTAAACGATATCGAGAGAAAAGATTTACCACTAAAAGTCATGTATTATGTCACTACTCTACTTATAATACATCGGTTATCGCCTAGCCTCCCAAGCTCTGAGTACAGGCTTCGACTGGGAAGGCTAACGTTTAGTTAAGGCTGACAAAATCTTATTGGCCCAGAACGTATGGCATTGTTCTAACCTAGTCTTTAGTCCGATAATACACATCAGGCAGTGGTGCGATAGTTTATCTTATGTGAGTCAACTCATAAAATAATGCAGACTAATTACTTGATTATACATCAACATGAATATGAAATTACAATACAAGTATAACTGCCTCAGAAGTAGAAGATAATAAAGGGGAAAGGAGAATGAATGATTAACCATAATTATGGAATACTAAGACTTACAACAATAGTTAGTGGGTTCATTGGAAGCTTACAATAAAGACAATACGGAAATGCAATGATACAGTTATCTGATGAATACACAACAAAGGTAAAAATAATAAAAATAACTCGTAAATCAGTCCCATAAGGTACACTTTTTTCTGTAATTGCTCCGTTAAAATTATATTTCTGATAGTTCTTATGAGAGGAAGTGACCAATGGAGTTCAGCCATGCAGTTACTCATCAATACAATCGGAAAATGATTGCGCAATACCGCAAATTGATTTAAGCTAAAAAGGGAAACCATTGGATGCCGACTTAATGATCTACAGGTTAGTCTCTCACTACTAACCCTATAGGTCCTAGATTCAAACCTTGATGGATGTTTACGTTCTGTAGCTCTCCGATGCTTCCTTGTCCCTCAATGGTATGCTAACTACGATAAATTCATGACGAATATCATTCTGCAGATTTAAATTATTTCCTCCAAAACATTTTATCTAAGTCGAGGATTATTTGTTAAATAAATTTACTAGTGTTTTAAATGTTCATGTGGTCGACATGCAATGTGTTCTTCAATCGAGTTTTAGGTCATCGCCAATTGCATGAATAATGACTATGATAAATCCGTAGAATGTATAATGAGTGAAATAGTAACATAATTGCTAATACAGAGGAGGGGTCAAACATGGGTTATGTGATAAACTGAATTATGGGCATTAAGTCAGAGATAATGCTTATGATGTGAATGTTAAATAACTTGTTTGGACGCATAGGGACAAAACGGTTACGAGAACGGAGTTAAAGAGAATATTTACATGTGGCATATTTGGTCATTTTATAATAAAGATCACTTCCAGATTATCGAATATGAGGTTCACTAAGGAAGGAAATTAGCATGAACTCACTTTTTAGGTGCATTATATATCAAGTTTCTAAAACATTCTTATCACAATTTTCTCTACTTTCTTAAGGATTTAGAGACTGACTATTTTTGACGAGTTATTTTTGATATGGTAGACAATTGAAATTGGTAGATTGATGTTAGGTTTTTGGTTCGTTTTGCCTAGATTGGCTGTGATGAAGCTGTTGATAATCTTGATCATACTTTTGTTTAGCACTTTTGTTTTTGCACTGGAAGGTGTTCATGAAAACGGGGAAGTAAATTCCATGAACATTGAGCAGTAAAACTTGCTCCACTCAAGCAGTTGACTTCACAGATACATTCATTCTAAAGAATTCTATTTTTTCATTTACTTCAGATTACAAACGATTGTGATGGAGTAGAGCAAATTGAGGATAGAGCTACACCTACAAATATTTCTGAACGAAGTCTCAAGGATACAAAAAGAACTCAATTAGAACTAACTAATTCTAACTCAGATAAAAATGGTGGTGCCAAAACAACCGACATATTATCATCATCATCTGATCTCGGATTAGATTGTTCCATCACTATAAATAATACTCCTACTAGTACTAATGTCAGTAATGCAGTTCCTCATAGTAGTAATACTTCTGCTGGATCACCCACTACAGTATCACAAAAGAAACGAGCTCCTCAGGTACCTTCTGTTAGTGGGAATACTACTAATACAACTTCTCTAACAAGTACTACAACTCCAGTAACAAATAAAGCAACAACATCTTGAACAATCTTCATTATTATTTATTTATTTGACACGTTTTCTTTTTGCACTCACATTTACAATACAAGAAGAAGAATGTTCACTATTCAATGGTCAATCACAGTGAATTTCTTTCTTGAGCAGTAACTGTTCAAATCCTATTATTATTATGATTATTATTACTATTTACAAAAAAATGGAAGTAAATCAGATAGACCTAATTTTCAGTTGAATAATATAATATAATGGTTAATCATAAATTTAATGTCATAATCAGTGGAAACTTTGAGTCAAATTAAATATGTAAAACAGAACCGTTATCTTCTTTCCTAATTCCTCTTGCTCTCTCTCTATTACACTCAATCTTCGATCAGATATTTTATTGTCATTATTCCATCGGGTTACACTAATAGTAAATACTATCTCTTTTCTGAATTTACCCTTTCTTTTAAATGATAAAAAGATAACTAGTTATTCTTACCTAAATTATTATCTCATTTGATATTTTATGCCTTTTGTGTTTTGTTTCTTTGTTGCCCTATTGTATACATGTTTTACTTTTTCTTTATTGTTCAATGTTCTTTCCCAGTTGTTTTTTTTGTTAAAACAATTTTGATCTCATGATTTATATGCGTTTAATGTTTTCTTTTTTTGTGGTTAACTCGTACCTTTTAATTTCATCAATTAACTTTTATTAACATATACACATATGTGTGTATCTTATCAAATCGATAATATTGTTCAAATGTATTTGGAAAGGAGCTAATGAATGAACAAGGAGAGTATATATGTGGTTTCATTGCCTATCCTCATCTACACTACATTTTTTCAATACTTTTTAGTTCTTTTTTATACAAAATCTACCTCCCTTCCTCCTCATCCTCCTTCTATGTTCTACTTCTACACCATTCTACTTCATTTATTTCAATCAACACGTAATATGAGAAGATCTAAACTTTAGCAGTGATGGTCTTTCAATTAGGTAAAATTCAGTTTTCATTTCATCTTGTCTACTCAATTTGTATATCATTATTGAGCTGATTTCGTGTCTCCATTATTAATGTTATTTGTTTACTTATCCTCTCCTTCTTATCCGATGGTCTAACAACATAAGTTTCAAATACAAAAGGCAAAAATGTAAGGAAACTTTACATACTACTTATTACGTGGTATGCGCAGATGAAAGTAATATCGCACAACTAAACATTAATTATCTCATGATTTGCATGGATTTATTACAATTTTCTGTAATGCATTTTATCCTGTCTGTCATATATATCCGTGCAGTTTACATTTTTAGAAGTAACGTTACACTTTTCTATTATTGTATTGAAAAAGCCACGTGATAAAGAATGATTCTTATCTTCTTTCTTCACCTCTTTTTTTGTCTATTCAACGATGAATATCAAGATCAGATGATTATAGCAGTGCTAGTGATCACAATTTTTTTAAAAAAGGAATATCTTGTTTTTATGGTTTCATACACATGTCATTTATTTATAGCTTGCTCACAATCACGCATATAGAAAGCACTAACTGACATACTGTTACATTATAAATACCCATAAAAGCATACATATATTTTATATTTTGTACATAAATTTAATTATTATGATTTACTGATAGGCTTGTTTCACTCGTCCACTTTTTTATCCTATCTGTTTGTGTGTGTGTGTACGGTTATAGTTTGACTATTTACATTCTTAGCGCTGCTAATACTAATACTGTTATGATTACTACTGATAATAATTGTTACTACGATCATAATTATTGTTACTATTAGTAATATTATTATCATTACTACTATTGGTGATATTTATGCTGGAAACAATTGGACAACTGTTTGTACATTCGACCTGGTGACAAAAAGTATATATATAATGGTACAGAATAAATCTGATTTTTCATTTTCATCAGTGTGATTAAAGGTAGAATAGAAACAATCTAAGGAACACAAACATGATCCATGATTTGATTGGTTTTCTACATGTATGTCCACTCAAATACAGTAGTGTCCCACTATAAAATAATTATATTTTGTACTTAATGATCGCCAATACTTAGTAATAAATACTTAGTATTCGGTCGTTCGTTACTGTATGAGTAACCTTGAATTTATTTACATGATTATAGGCTGGAGTAAAATGACAAATAAACCATACACTTAGTCTTTTTTGGACATATGAAAAATATATGTGTTCATCCTAAAGTCAAGGTTAATATGATAATTAAGCAAAACTACTACTGTACTTTGGAAGTTTCGTTTATCATAATTAGTTATCGTATTTTGGGTATGTTTGTGACATCAAATCTTGCTTGACAAATGTCCTGCAAATCTTAAATTACTTCATCCATAAACTTACAGAGAATTAATTTCTATTCGTAACTTGTAAAAAAACGACTTGTTCCGAACATGCTATGAGATCACCATAGCATTCGAATGGTTGCTGTCTCAAAGAATTATAATTTTTGGTGTGACAATTTGTCAAATCTCCTAATTGAACACTAGTTTCGGTTCTTAAGCTCTTCTAGTAACTCCCAGGTTAGATCTACACGGCAATTTGAACACAAGAGAAAAGACGCGAGAGATGGGAGAAACGCTTTACTCCGAAGGTCCGTTTATGTACAGAAAACCTACGGTTTTTCGTAGTATTTTAGATCCCCTTGGGTTTCTGGAAAATTCTGGAACGCTACTAAACAGTAGCATTATAGACAATCATCCAACCAGTTACTCGACATGTGACTTTTCACTTTCTAGATGTTTCTGGCAAAACCTCTAGTAAATGCTGATTGGATAAGATGCTCCTCAGCGTTTTCAGAACCTTTCTTGGCTTTTTTCAAGAAGTTTTCTGGATCTCCCCAACACAACTGGATCATAACCTTTCTTAAAGCTACAGTAGTGGAATGATTTACTCGACCAAAAGGCGTATATTTAGGAAGCTTCATGAATAAAAGAGTTAAGAAAACCAGCTATTTGTCATTTTCCATCTAATGTTGGCTTGTCAAGGAGACATCGAAATCCAGAAGCACTTATCGCCAGTCCATGGTTTGATCTCCATAGGGATCAACATTGAGTACTGCTAATGACATGATGAACCGTCTGTCAAGTTATCTATAAGTTTTAACTGATGTCCTGTTGTAAAGCTATAAATCTAGCAGTTTTCGCAACCATTTTTTCCGCTGACAAACTCCTGGCTAACGGACATCGGGTAATCGAGAAAGGAAATATTTTAGAAGCTGTTTCAAACAGTACACTCATGGTAGTTCAGAGTCCAAAAAAACTAACATTCTGGTCGAATCGGTGTGCCTGTGGCGGGCAATAGATAATCAAAATCAGTAGCTCTGTAAGTCTTCGACATTTGATGCTGACCGCATTAGATTACAGAAACTCTTTTACAATCAATTTCGACTATAGTTAACTTTTGTCAAGTCCTTTTTTTACCTTATTTAACAGAAGGTTATTCAGACACTAACAATCCATTTATTTCTTTGTACTATTATGGTCACTGTTATATCGTTTCTGACTCTTTATTTGAGTGAGTTGGTATACTCTGATCATAAAAGATGTTTCTGGTTCAGGCGTTCGTAAAACTCTAAATACTTGTGGCATCTTTATGCCATACATCTTCGGTCCGAAACGAGAGGCTAGAACAGATGGTGACTATATTGGACACTTGACTGCGGTATTTGTACTAACTGAGGATTCCTGTGTTCTCAATCGAACACTAATTACGAATCCCAAATATAATACGTTCACTTGTACACATCTAGTTCAAACTGCTTTAGTGAATGCATAATTTTTAATTCGTATTAAATGTGCTATCAAGAACAGATGAATCCTCAGTTAGTAAAAATTTGTGTAATCGATTATGCGTGTTCTCCTTCAGTCCATCATATGGTTGTCCGGCTGTGTATCGTGTATAAACTCTGTTTGATCTACAATGTACCTATTAGTATTAGGATTGACAACGGAAATAGGAACGGACTCATTTGGTTCCTGGAATTATATATGATCGACATTTCGGTTATGTGCAGTCAAACCATCAGTATCTGGAATTCGAAACGTAGATTTTCCAGCATTCTTCAACACGATCATCATGGCTGGTCGAAGATCATTTCCACGATAATATGTAATCTCTGTGGACTCTGAACACCGAATAATTCTTTTACTAAATTTTTTATAATTTCTTTCGATGCAGAATGTTTAGTATTTCTATATTGCATTAGGAATGCATCGAGTTCCCTCTCTAGTTCATTAAATGTTGGAGCAGCAATTGAATTAGTAGCAGTTTTCAAGGTTCTTACGAAATTTTTTGCCTAACCATTAGAACAAGGTTACCTGGAAACAGTGAACAGATGTCTAGATCCTGTACCATTCAATCAAGAGGTGACTGTGTCTGAAGCAAAGTGAGAGCCATAATCAGGCACTAACACCATTTGTTTCCCAAAATTTTTTGATTGTAAAGTAAGGATTCGGTGAAGTTGGGAAAAAACTCCAGGCCACTTAGAAAACGAATCAATGACAACTATTTGACAAGAAATGGACCACAATAGTCAGCATGAATACTCTGCCAGGCCTCAGACGATACTGACCATGGCGTCCACTTCGAAGGCTGATTTCTAAGTTGATGACATCTCTCACAATTGTTTGCCGCACGACATATATCTGCATTTATCTCTGGCCACCAACATGTGAGCCTTGCCAAGGACTTCATTTTCTCAACACCTAAATGTCCACTATGAAGATCCTCAAGAACAGATTTACGCAATGAAGTAGGGATGACAACAAGATCATTTAAACACAAAATACCATCAGAAGTAGTGGATAGCTCATCCCCCTTTGAAAAATAGATAGGAAATCTACGTTTCAGATTATCATTCCAACATTTTCGTATGGCACTGAGTATACATCCAAAATATCTACGAGTTTCTCTAATGAGATCTGAACGTCTCACTGGTAAAGGTTGCACTAACAAACAGTCCGAAGTATTAATAGGTCTAACTTGTGATGACTGTCGAGAAAT